TAGTGGGGAGCTTTCTTGAAAGAGAAGCTCACTGTGTAGCCCTGGCTCCCCTCAGCTCATGGCAACCACTGCTATAGCCTTCTGAAAACTAGGATTACAGACATGGAGCACCCTGCCTGGCTTCAGAAATGATTTTTCAAAGGGCTGGTCAAAGCTCAGCAGCTAGAGTATTTGTCTAGCATATACCGTGCCCTGAATTCAACACCATAAAAAACAGAAAGGAAATGTCAACTCTCAGGCCCCACCCTGGATCTCCTAAGTTCAAATCTGCATCCATCTTAACAAGGTCACTATGAATTCACACACATCAATATCTGAGAGGTGCCAGACATAGCTGTCAGTGGAGCTTTAACCCTGAAGAGAGCCCACATGTGGCCCGGAAGGCTCAGTGAGTAATGGCCACCAAGCCTAATGACCACTAGGTGATGCAAAGAACTGACTCCTATAAATTGTCCTCTGGCCTCCACAAGGTCCCATGGCACAGCTCACATATGCACATCCATGTGTGTGCACAAAAAAATCAATGTAAAAAAAAAAAAAAAGTCCACATTGCCAAAGGTTTGGGTCAAATTGGGTAGCATTTGGGAAATAAACAGGACTCCAGCAGAGCCTAATCCTCTCTCATCATCATGATTGACACCCTCATTGCCTCCCACATCCACGTCTGCTCCGTGCGTCCTTGCATTCCTCAAGCTTGTTGTAGTTCCCATCTCTTGTTACATTTCCTCAGAAGCTGACAGTCACCCCACAGTTTTCTTCCATATCAGCCTGCTCCCAGCAGTTGTATTCCGTGTGTGTGTGTGTGTGTGTGTGTGTGTGTGTGTGTGTGTGTGTCCGTCCTGCTTACCCTGCAAGATGGAGCTGTGCTCCACACCCCCACCCTCCCCCCTCCACCCCCACCTCCAGATCCACACCTTCGTCTTGTCGGTCTGTTGCTAACCTGGAGTCTTCTTTTCCCACGCCAGGTCAGGGAAGAATGCCGGCTCCTGAACGCCCCACCTGTTCCGCCCCGAAGTTCAAAGCCTTTGTCCACCAGCCCCTCCATCCCTCCTCGTACAGTCAAGCCAGTTCGGCCACAGACTCGCTCTCCCAGCCCCACCCTCTCCTACTATTCTTCAGGGCTGCATAACATGTAAGTCTTCCCGTCAGAACCCACAGCACCCCACCCGCCAGGTCATGGGCCTTGGAATTCACCTAGCAGCCAAGCGGGAGAGGGTATGGTGTTTGCCTTTTAAAACTAAGGTTCTAGGAAGAACATAGTTGGGCCCCTGCTGGTTTTGACCTTGGATGGAAGAGCTGGTATCATGATAAGAAAAGATGCCACCAGGGTCTGTGAGAGGCCAAGGGAAGGCCCTCCTCTTGGAAACAGTGGGTGGGCTTCTATTGCCCAGCAGAAGCCAGCTCTGGTTCTTGTCATCTTGACTTTGATACAAGCAGACAGCACCTTCTAGGAAGGTGTGAGAACCCGAAGGCTCCCCTTGGCCTTCTGCTCCCAACTTGAAGCCAGCAGGAATCCTTTCTTGGCTATGGCTGCAAAGATGCTCCTGTCTGGGGCTCTTCAGAGCCGTCAGCTCTTCTGAGACACAGGCTGCTTCACTGCTGGCACACGGGATTGTTTGGTAAAGAGCTCACCCGTACTCTCAAGTTATAATACATCTGTCTCTAAGTAATCTTCAACTGTAGTTGTCTAGAGAAGCAAAACAGAGCAGCCCCATTTCCCTCAGAAAACTTTTAAGTTCTTCTACAAAACAAAATGCCCGTTTCCTCGGCGATTCCCTCAGACATGAGCACCTGCTCCCCCTCAGCCTGCCCACCCACCTTTCAGCACACTCTGGTTCCACTGTCAAACTTATGATGTGAAAATACGGCCCCCAGGATGAATGCACCCGCAACCAATGTACTTGAAGTTTGAAGTCTTCCCAGGCGTGTTTTGTTTTGTTTTCTTTTTATCCTCTGGATATTAAAATTCTTATGCTGTGTATAGCTCTATTGTTCAGAAACCAGGGCAAGGATGGGCATTTTATTGGAAGGGCATTTCTTCCTATCAGACTTTGGGGAGGATTCGGAGTTATAGACAGTGGTGATGTGGCCACATCATTGTCTCTTGCAAGCCTGCCTCTCCTGCTTACCTACTGCAGACATGCTCAGTCTCTCCTCCTTGTCCACACAGGCATGCTCAGTCTCTCCTCCTTGTCCACACAGGCATGCTCAGTCTCTCCTCCTTGTCCACACAGACATGCTCAGTCTCTCCTCCTTGTCCAC